AAGAGTCCTGAAAACAGGGACGAGCCAGACACGACAGAGGGACAGCGCACAAGTCACCCCCATCCTCCCGCCCGCACATCCCAGCTGTGGCTCTTGTCTGACACTGACTGTACAATACTCTGGTACCACGGTTTTACACGCCCGAACCTGGGGTAGTTTTAGTGTCTAGAGAGAGATTTTAAGACTACTTTGCATTCTGAAGGCTGCAGTAAGACCGAGGTGGGACACCTGGCCGTGGTGAAGCACCTGCCCCCTCCTGTTCTTAAACAGCGATGCCTCAGGGGAGGTCACACCTGGCACAGGGAGCCCACACGGAGCTCAGCAACACCCGCACGGTCACCCCTCGAAGCGCCCGCCGCCCAGCGTTACAGGTCACAGCAGCACGAGGGAGGTGAAGGCCTGGCAAAGAAGCCCGAGGCTCAAAAGAAACCCTCCCAGGGGACTTCAGCGCAAAGTCCCCGGAGAGCACACGCACAATTCCAACCGTCCCGTTTGGCCTCTGAGCATTTGGGAAGCAACAGGTACAGAAGCGCAGGAGCCAGCCTTGGGCCGCGGCGCGAAGCCCGGACGGAAGCGGGTTAGCGCACCGCTGGCCGCGCAGAGCGGGGTTAACAAAGAGCGTAGATACAGCGCAGGGAGGAAGGACAGATTCCACTGGCGGGGGGGGGGCCCCCCCCCCCCCCCAGCCGCCCTCGCCAGCCCGACGGCCGGGCAAGGCGGGCACACGCGGGTCCCGCTGTACAAACGGGTGTGTTCTTACACGCTGCCCTAAGGCCAGTCATTTTCTTCATTAAAATCATATACACAGGCTGGATTTCACCGTTCGCTCAGTTCCTTCAAGTTTTATACATATTTACCTTCTGTTAACAAATGTAGGAGAAAAGTGGCAAAAAAATGACAGAAAGCATGAGCACAAGAGCGAAGGGATGGTTTCCCGCTGCGAGCCCCGACCCGCAGTACACACCCCAGGGAATTCTTCCGAGAACAGCACGCGAACAGGGAGCCCCCCGGAACCATTTCACAGCAAACCCCTTCTCCTTTGCTACGGACAGCTCTGAGGGGGAAGAAAGGCCAAAGGACCAGCCACTTAAACCGTACAAGACAAAGCCCTGCAACAGCGGGAAATCACGAGTCCAGCATCAGTGCTCAGTTTAAACCCGGTGACACTAGCACAAGGACAATCAAGGAGAAAGAAAACTTCTAGATTTACCATGCAGGAGAGGTTTTATTACTCTACTTGCCTTTGATAACCTGATTACATCTAAGGTTGTTTAGCAGTTTAGTACTGTGTTAAACTTGTCTCAGAGTTTGAATTAAACCCAGTAAGATGTACAGAGGACAGGGAAGCGGCCAAAAGCACCGCTTCCAACAGACAGAGGTGAAAGGTCAGAAGGGAGCCATGAAACAGAGGTCACTAGCAGCCGCAGCCTTCTCTCTGGGGCTGGGGTTCGCTGGTTAGTCGCCCCCCCTGCGGCGCCGACGGTTTGTGCTGTACTCCCGATTCTGCAGCGTTCAGATCCAGGCTCCCATCTTGGATGTTCTGGTAGATTTTCTTGGCAGCCTCCAGGAACGCGTCCTCCACGTTCTCCCCGCTACGAAGAGAGCGGCAGGAGTTACTCAGGGTCCGCTGCAGCAGGAAGGAATTCCCTCCGAGGGAAGGAATGGCGAACGGGGAACCACCCCCACCCCCTGTACACGCTCAAACGACCAGTTAAAACCAAAGCAGTTCAGTCAGACTGAACAAATCCGCCTGCAGTGGAGCGAGAGGTCTGCTTTCCAAGCCACCTTCGGTCAGAGCCGACGTGGCTGAAGCTGCCGCACACACCGCGCCAGGAACAAGGGTTTTCCTTTTCCCCGTACGCAACCCCTGCGGCTGCACTTCGCCAACACACCCCTCACCCAGCTCACCCGTTCCTCCGCACAAAAGCGACTTACGTTTTTGCACTTGCTTCAAGGAACAATAAACCTGTTCAGAAACAGAGGTTTGACAGTCAGCGCACAATGTACTTCCAACAGCCCCACGTCAGTCACACCGTGACCTTCCGAGTCCCCGCAAGACACTGACTTCATACTCCATGGTATTCTACGGCTACGTGAAGGCACCAACACACGGGCCGGTTTCCAGAACTCAGCCTGGCTTAGCTCTACCCGTCCTGTCTCAGGCACGGTGGGTGTCTGCACATCTACCATTACGCTACTGCTGGGGATCCCTTTAGCACTATCTTGTAGGAAAAGTATCAGCACAAGAGAAAAAAAAAAAGACACACCATTTTCTTCAGCAAATTGTTTGGCTTCTTCGTATGTAACATCCCGCTGTGCTTCCAGATCTGCTTTATTTCCTATGAGGATTATCACCTGGGTCCAAAGAGAGAAAGTTAGTCTGGGGAAAAGCCTCCTGGCTCTTTCGCTACCACCCTCCTCCTGACAGAGATGAAAGCCCAGCAGGACACAGGCAGAGGCTGACCCCAGATGACGCTGCTCTTAGCAGTGCCCCGCTGTCAAGTCAGGGACAGCATCTCCAGCTGCCCCTTCCGAACACTCTTCCCATGGGATGAGGAGGAGCAGCCCCCTCTTTATTTGTGGGAGATTTACTCTGAACCACTTCTGGTATCTGTTTCATCAGCTGCTAATCCAGCAGCACCTTTGCATTTTCTGTCCCAGAGAAGAGTCGTCCCACGAGCTTGGGGCGTTCAGGACAAGACTGAAGTCCTTGTGTGTCCAGGCACAGACCGACCTTCCCCCATCCCTCCAGGAGCCCTGCTCAGCTCTGGCTGAGGATCCCGTTTATATTCCCATGTAAGCAGAGGCAGCACTCCCCTCATCGCTGCCACACAGCAGTAACAACAGTAACGGTTTGCTCAGAGTTAACCCCAATTTTGTCCCCAGCTGCTGCAAACAGGCCCCCCGAAAGATGAGCAGCACGGGGCTTTGAGAAGCAGGCACTGCTTTCCTGCTCAGCATCCCACACTTCTGCTCCCGCTGCAGTAAGGGAAGAGTCACCGAGTGCTGCAGAATGGGAACTAAGGAGAGCTCGGAGCTAAGCAGGTGAGAAAACGCAGGCAGTTCCTTGCACAGAATCTGCTACTGCCGCAGATGCTTTGGCCGAAGCCTCCCACCTCTTGAAAGCAAGAGTGCTCTTCTAAGCAGGTTAAAAAAAGTCACACTTACAGTATTTGGATTGGTGAGGTTCCTTGCATCTGTCAGCCAGCTGCTTAAGTGATTATATGTACTTCTTCTGCAGAGAATCAAGCGAGAACGGTTTTAGAGACAGTATTCTTTAAAAACAGGTACGTGCCAACGGCACAGTCAGCACCCAGTAAACACACCGACATCTGTCGCCCCTGTTCTCCCCAGCCTCAGGACAAAGCAGCAGCATCTCGTCTGGACTCAGACCAAGGTTCCCTGCAACAAGTCAGTTTAGATCCACGGAGCAACTCTTCCCACACTGCGGAAGGGAGCAACTTGCACTTCCAGCGTGGGGCAGCCGGACTGTCTTCACACGGACAGCGCGGTGCACGGAACACGTGAAAGGGTCCCTGTCAGATACCCGCACCGAGCACTGTGGAGCGGAACAGCACGTTGGTAACAAACAGCGCGTGACGCTGCTTAAATCTGGGACAACAGAAATACCAGGACATACACCTGTATCTGCAGGGGGAAAAAAGGTGCTTAAAGGGTATCAGCGACAGCCCCAGAGGCAGATGGGAGACACGTGAAAGCAAAAGCATTCCGCATTGCACATCGGACTCCTCATTCGTTCGGCAGCACCTTTAATTCTCGTCTGTAGGAGGACGGGATAGCTGCTACGCAGCGCTCTTGCTGCGGGACCAGCCCCTGAGGGGGCCCAGAGTCAGGCTTCTGCAACGCTCTCACCGACACGAGTCGGCGAGGCACGGTTACGTACCCCTGCAGCAGAGGTAATACTCCCTCCTGTAACTACTCTAGAATACCCCTGCCAGGTGAGCAGGGTATCCACTGCCTCCCAGGAAGAGTCCAGGTACTGAAGAGGAGATTTAAGGGCAAAACCAGTTCTTTAGACAGTTTCAAGACAGGCAGGCAAGGCCTGAAACAGTAACATCCTCAGGTCCGTCAGCAGTGAGGTTTTCCAAGGAAAGCAGCTCACCTAATTCCCCACGTTTCATTTTCAGCTCTTTAAATACTTTTAGATGAAGAAGTGCGGTACGCTTCACGCCACAGGATACACATCCAGACAGAGCCCGTGAAGCCAAGGGGACAGGCAGGACCGTACGCGTACGGCTGCGGCACACGCAGCGCTACAACGCCAGAGGAACGGCCAGCAGCTCCTTACCTGGTGATGTCGTAGACCATGAGAGCTCCTGCTGCTCCTCTGTAGTAGCTTCGTGTGACAGCCCTGAATCTCTCTTGGCCTGCTGTATCCCAAATCTGTAGTTTAATTTTTTGGCCACTAACTTCAATTATTCTTGTGCCAAATTCAACACCAATTGTGTGGGGACAGTCCGCCATAACTGTCGTGGAAAACAAGAGCAAAGGTCAGATCTTTCTGGTGTAAGTTCTCCTTGCTACAAAGATGCTGCTATCACCAGTTCTCAGCTCGCTCTACCAGACTTTCAGTCCCTAAGAAAGCACTTTTACAGCTACAGTTCCCAAACCGTATCACTTAGCCAGAAAGAAATGAAGTATTCCCTGAACTGCTGCTAGCGTGTCAACAGTTACGGAACTCCTCGCCTCCTCGACGCAGGCACACTGCTGCTGCCTGGCCGCATATACCCGAGGGTGTCGAGTCAGCTAAGTCTCATCTACCCCTGCAGAAACAGTTAACTAGTTTACTGCAGCGGGAAAATGTAACTTCTGGGGAATTACTGACAGACAGTGAAGTCTATAACAGCTTCGAAAACAAATATCCAAGAGGGTAATAGCATAACTGTCCACAGGGAAAGGCCAGTTCCGTAAGTAGCTACGGACACAGCAAATCAAAACCCAAAAGGCATCTTTCTAGTTGCAATAAACTCATCTTAATGAGCTCATCCTTAAGAAAGATGAAGGAGAGAAAGGGTGAGGACCGAGCCAGGCTGCCTACAGCGAGTGACGGTCTGTTGGCACCTTCGGCTGTCCCGCTTCAGCTCAATGCTGACAACAGTTTGACTGTATGCGAAGCAGCATTTGAAGAATCGCCTGATACTGGATTTTAATTAAAAGCAACAGTTAAACCATCCTATTTTTACCAGAAAACAGAAACACTTTAAACCGTAGCTCCTACCCACTTACTGCCACGTCCCGAGTTCGTCACGGTGAAGACGAACTTTGCACTAATAAATACCTACAGGCTTATCCACTGAGCGCGAGCTCCACGGAGTCGTAGGAGCCGGCAGCCAACACAAGCTCCAGCGGAACACACGTGAGGAATGGAAGTTAGTTCTTAGTTGGTTGTGACAGCATACAGAAAGAGGGTGCAGGCTGCAGTAAGCCTCAGACAGCCTCACACAGGGCAGTCCCAGAGTCATGAGTCACGGCAGCGAGCGTGCCACGATGCTACTTAAGTCAGCAAAAAGCCAAAAGAAAAGTGAATCTTTTTTCTTACTGAAGTCCTTAAAAGCACTAAAAAATCCCTTTGGACCGCTCTGTGTTCAAGCTACACCAATACTGAACACTTGCACGTTTCAGGCAAGAAATCTGACTTTGTTTCACATCAAGATTCCCCAGAAAAGCTGTAAAAACCAGCCAGTCTCCCCACTGGTCACAGGTAGGGCTGACTGGAGCGGCAGTTTCGCCGTCACCGCGTCCGCATTCTGCTTCTACATCTGCAGGGGTCGAAAAAATAATCCAACCACGTGCAAGAGCCGCCCCCACAGATTAAAACGGACGCTGCAGCGAGCTCACGCACAAGGGGAGCCAAGAGGCAGGGAAGAGGGGTGCGAACTGAAATACTCACACTTCTTTTCTGTAAACTGATGAAGCAAACAGGACTTTCCTACGCCCATGTCGCCTGTTACGGAAAGAACGGTTAATGTGACACCACATCACATCGACAAGGTCATTTTCTTCACCCCACACAAGGAACGGTACAGACAGGCGGCACTTCCTTCCCCGGCCCAGCGCTGACACCTGGCTACAGCCCTCAGATTTACCAACTCCTGCACCGGTTTTGGTAACAGGTACAGGCTTGGAAGCAAGGGCGGAGCAGAAAACTCAGAAGAGAAGTTTAGTACTGATTTTACAACTGTATCTCACAAGGTTTTGAGAAGCAGATCTGTAAGAAAACGAAGGGTAAAATACGGCTGTTGGGTGTTTTTCCTGCTCCTGTCTTACCTGCAGTTACTGGTAAGGACAAATAATAGCGACAGCCAAGCAGAACACACCAAAAACTGCTTCGCTTCCACAGTGCTGACAGCGAGAACTCTTAAGAACCAACTTTTCAGCAGGCTGACGCTGTCAGGGCAGCCCGGGTTACAAACCATTACAGTATCATTTACACCTACACAAGATCATTAAAAATTAAACAATTAACAGCAAGACCAGTTCTTCCAGGATGCTAATAAATGCCATCAAGTCCCTGACTAAACAGCCCAGGGAGCTGCAGCTAAGAGCAACACTGACACACAAAAGCAGAGCCTGACAGAGGCTTAGCAGCCTGTCTGAAGCCATGATTCCAGCTAGTACTCACGTCTTCGACACAGATTCTAAAACCTTTGAGACCAACGATGCAAACTGCTGCAATAATCCTGAACCAACACATCCCAGTTGTCTTGATTCCCATTACAGTTTTTCTCCATTTCCAATAGATTTAGCAATTTTTCTAAATATAAACTTGATTAAGGGAGAAAGGGACCTTGTGCACACGTTTCTAAAGGGCCTTTTTCTGGTGCTATGCAGAGGGCTAAGCATTATGGCTCCAACAGGGACGATACTCAGGAATACTGAAGTATGTCCAGAACAGTAATTTTTGACAGCAGCTCAGCAATAAAGTGAACTCAGGGCAGGCAGCAGGACTTGCCCTCGCTCCCAGTTCACTTGCCACCAGTCCGTCACGCAGCTCCCGTTCTGTGGCACACAAGGGCATTCTCCTTCATACAGTCAGCTGCAGAAGCTTTGGAGAAGCCTGGTGAGCTGTGAAGGGCTGAGGTTAAACAAGGAACTCCTGAAGGGATCAGGACCGTACGGCAGGGAGCATGCAAGTCAGCAACAGCTCAGCCGCAGGTTTGGGGGTAGGCGGTCACGCACGCACGTGTGGACACAGGCGTGTGCCCGGCGGTACTTACCAATGATGATGTACTTAAAGATGTAGGAGTAGTTGTAAGGTGCAGTTGCCATTGTGGCACTGAAACAAAAAAAAAAAATTGAACACGTCAGAACTGCTATTTGTTCAAACTCAACCCAATTTGTTCATGTAAGCAAACGAAACCCCTTCCCTCCCCCCGCAATTACCCTTCCACAGGTGAAGTTTCTGTGTACCTCCCCCCAGTCACTGCATTAGTGCCATTCAGCACAACTCCCCTGTCATTTCCTCTGAACCCCTCCGAGTAAGGCCTCCAAGTACACACATGCTCTGCGCTGTATCAATACTCATTCCATTTTATGCAGAAAGACTTAAAGCTACTGAAAAGCTCCAGTAGGTTCTGGCTTTGTGCAGCCACCGAGTGGACAAGCACTCGCTCGCCAAAGAGCTGATACCCAGGCTGAAAGTAAAATGTGACTGCAAAAGAAAAACCTGAAGAGGTTTAACAAAACCAGCAATTGGGAACTGTTACCTCACACTGTTGAGGCTTGCCACAGGAACAAAGGAAACAGTGCAGCTTGCACCAAACAGCTGAGAATTACTTAAAAAGTCAGCACAAGAATGCTGCAGGGGCCGTGACCGGGGTCTGGGCTGCTTGCTACATGTCTGTGTTAGAAACGTGGCACAAGCCACAAATCAGATGTTCAGGAAGTTAGTTAACATCTCTGTGGCTCTGTCAGCACAGTAACATCCCAGCAAGGTTTCCAGTCTCTCTCTTTTTCTTAAATACACTTCACTGACCTGGTAAGATTTACTCGCTAATCTACGCTCTCGAGTGGATTTAAGTGATTTCCAGTCTCTTTTCCTTAAATACACTTCACTGACCTGGTAAGATTTACTCGCTAATCTACGCTCTCGAGTGGATTTAAGTGACAGCCAAAATCGCACTGGGTTAAGTACTTCCAATATGCCAGAGTTTTCCCATGCTTTCCTGGAGTGGAAAAGGAGGAAGTAGAACTGGCTTCAGTTGTATAAACCTGCAAGGAGTAATAGCTGGCTAACCCACTAATACGTCAATTAACCAGGATTACAAGTCTACGCAGGCCAGATACTGCCAGTTAACAAAGGATACAAAATGCCCACTTTTGTCCCAGGTTTTAAGTTGAACTGGATCAGGTGTGATCAGCTAAGCAAGTGGAAAATTTCTACCAGGAATTCACCATTTCCTTGGCTGCTCCCGCATGGCAGATAGCCGGCCATTAGAAAAGCACAGTACTTCTTTATCAAGAACATGGCTTTTGCACAGAAGCCTTCCTAGGCTGTCATGTGCCATCCACATGACAAGTGAAACCAGCACTGTGGAGGAATAAAGATGGGGGGAAGCTTACAAGCCTGTAACTTCCCAAAAGCAAAATATTGTTTCCTCGACCACAATTAATCCGTAACAGCGAACTGGAGTCACGAGAGAAGGTGACTGACAACAAATCTCTTTCACAGTACACAGCCAGCAGCCTCCGCTTCGCAGCGGAGGTTCAAAGCAAATGCTCTTATCTAGACCTTGGAGGGGGAACAACTCCAAGAGGCAGTTAAGAAGGGTTTACTGTGTGCCAGTCGCTGGTCTGCACCTCGCCTTTCCTCCACGCTTGGCTCGCGATACGGAAACTCAAGTCCTTCTATCCCCAGCAGCATGCAAAGCATCTATGCTAAGCCCTGTACACACTCAGTTCTAGTAAACCAAGTTTAATCCGAGACAGTAAACAAAAGACAACTTTGGACAGCAATTGTTGTATGTATTCCACACCGCGTGCTGCACAGGTTCCAACAACAGTCATTTCCGCCAAGGAAATGCCAGAGGAAACTCTTCTGGCTGTAGCAGAGGGAAGTCTCACACTGCTGTCCCACACCGACCTACTCAGTCTCTGGCAAATAACCGCTCAGTGCCCGCTCGTCATCGCTGTACGCGGTAAGAATTCATATCCACCACTGAAAAGGCTCTGCCAGCAACTCCACTGCCTTATCTCCCGGAAGATTCCGGTTACAGCATCAACTCCAGTACGTGCACTGATTATTTTACACAGCGTAGAGACAAGTAACTGCTCCGCACCGAGCTCAGAGTTACTTGTCACTGTGGAAACAGCCACTACTACAGCGTGTTCCTCCCTTCTCCAGCACGTCCCAATCACAGAGATGTTCAGAGCATCTTCCTATCCCAGCCGCTTGCTCCTACACATACTGAACTTGCCTCTTGCTTTCTGAGCTAAGCTAGGAGGAGTCTGCGCGCACACAAGGCTAAACTGGAGGATTACAAGGTACATAAGCGGAAATACAAAAAAAAAGGCAGGAAAAGGCCAACTTCTACATGCAAGTACTTAAGGACGACAGCGTGAACCATAGGGCACGGGTGCTACAGCTACAGCCACAACAGAGAAGGTGAAGACACAGCGCACTATTGCACATCATCTCTTTAGAGTTTTGCTGCATGTAACAGGTGGGGGAACACGTCCTGCTACCCCAGCTTGTCAGCAGCACCAGAGGTGAGGAAGACTTTGTGAAGACCGGACAAGCAAGGAACTCAGTGCAGGCTATCGGAAATACAAAAAAAGAAAAGGCAGGAAAAGGCCAATTTCTACATGCAAGTACTTAAGGAGGACAGCGTGAACCATAGGGCATGGGTGCTACAGCCACAACAGAGAAGGTGAAGACACAGCGCACTATTGCACATCATCTCTTTAGAGTTTTGCTGCATGTAACAGGCGGGGGAACATGGCCTGCTACCCCAGCTTGTCAGCAGCACCGGAGGCGAGGAAGACTTTGTGAAGACCGGACAAGCCAGGAACTCAGTGCAGGCTATATCACTAACTGAATTTGAAGTCAGCCTCTTCGCTGGAATCCTTACTGCTACACATCCATCTCTCTTTATCTGACAGACTGATTTTGCTTGCCAAGGTACGTCAGTTTTTATAATACTCTAAGTTACAAAGCCTTAACTATGCTATTTCAATATAAAAGAAACTGTCACTGCTTTGCAACATATGCATCAAAATCAGTTCCCACTTCAAAGTGAGAGTTAGGAAACCAAATTCTGTGCTTGGCAACAAAGTCTGCTAAGAAATCTGAGAAACAGGTGGGAAGGGAGGACTAACTTCAAGCCACGTCCCACTGTTAAGACCTCACCCTCGTTCTCACAGTGCCATTAGGCCCCCAGAGGAGGTGAGAGATACCGCACACACGTACAGCCAGATTAGCGTGCTCCCTCCACAGCCTCCAGAAACCAACCGTTAACAGCAATACCAATAAATTCACCCACACGACCTTCTAGACTTTCTCTCAAGCCCCGGAGTTGCTGGAGACTTTATTGTCTCTGACAGACGTATATGCTGAAAGCTTCCAGAAACACGGGCATGAAGCTTAAACACGATTTCTGGAGTTCCACTGGAAAATAAAGCAACACCCTGGTATTACATTTATTCCAAGGGTCATGTTACAGAAAAGATTCTGACTTACCCCAAATTATTAGTAAAGGTCAGGAATCTTTTCTGGAGAACAGAGGACTTCTTTAAAAAGAAAAAAACCACCACCCCAACAATCAGAACTTTTAAACACTCCAATTCCAGTAAGGCTAAGCAGGAATCCAAAGTCTTGGATTGTACTCGTGTTGGAATAAAACTGATATTCCAGAAGGACTCTGTGCTGAAGTGGAGGAAATAAGTGCAACAAACTAAACACAGACGCCGTGGTGAGAATTCAGCCTTAGAAAAGTCACAATCTCAGCATTTACTACAAACGAGAAGGAAGTCTAGACCAGCCGGGTGCACAGCAGGATTTCGTACACACAGAAATGCCAGCTGCACCTTCGTGCAAGGGGTTAACGTATGTCGATAACATCAGCCTTCTCCAGAACCTGGAGTTCCCCCTCTGCTTCACAGCCCCCTGATCCAGACAAGTCAATCTTCATAGTCTTCACCCCAAACAGGGTTGGGGTTTTCCTCTCGGGAGAGCAAAGGGGTAAGAACTGCGGGACTGAGAAAGTCGCACGTCAGGATCTGTGACTCCCCTTCAGCCACTGCTGACATCATACACCAAGTTAACCAACTGTGAATTTACTGTTAACAGAAAGTAAAAGAAGTGTAGTCTGGAAGCTTGTTCTACCTCCCATCTTTCTTCTGGGAAAGTCTACCAACACAGAACCAGCTTTGGCTCCCCTGTCAGAGGTAACACTTCCCAGAGCCAAGAGCAGTATTTCAGGATGGCAACTAGCCAGAGCATCACACTGCACTATACTCGGATTGCTGCTGGTTTCAGAGCCTGTACAATTAACTTCTGTATTACAGTTAGCAGTAGAAATTTTACAGGGAACAGTGTCACCACAAGCCATTTTCCAGAGATCAGCTTATCCCCTAGAGGCTTTTTTTTAATAAAAAGTCAAAGATGACCTTAATGAGATACGAGTACACCTACATTTCCTCCTCTAATCAACAAGCACTACACAGGTATTTTGACATCTCACCAAGTATCAGCACACATCTGTACAAAGTGGGATAAGGCTGTGCTAGGCATGTTGCCCTAACATTCTTTATCAGAACAATGAAACTGTAAATATCATATCCATACCAGCCTCTGTCAGACCCAGGCAGTTCCTTCTAGCTCAACTCAAGGACAGTCGATTTTAACTCTTCACTGGCTATCACTTGCATACATTTCATAGCTGTCTGCTCAGCCACAAGTATGCTATTAGAAGAGACTAGAACCTGTATGCACATGGTATTAACCACGTGGCCTAACAGAACATCAGCTGGCCAATCCACACAGAGATGATACCTCTGAAAACAGCTATCGGCTTCAACCTCAGGACTGTCTAATTATTACAGGTTCCCCTTAAAAACATATCACTGTGCAGCCAGGACCACTGTTTGGTTAGTCTGAAGTAAGAGGCATTTTGTATCTCATCTGGCCATCCAGGTGTTCTTTTGGTCATTCCTCAAGGACATGCAACAGGAAAGTGTCTCATGGTTGAAGTCCAGGTCCCCTCTAGAAAAGGCAATGCCACCGTACCATTCCTTTCATGAACTGAAACAACTTTTCACGTGCTGTTAGTATTT